GAGTTAAAAGGGCATCTTCTTTCACGGTTAGAACTGCTAGACACATAGGCTCAATAAAAGTATGCTCTTTAAATATTTGAGCAGTCAAATATGCTTGCAAATGTGCGTATAACAGACTATCTTCTGGAATATCTTCCAGATGGACAGATGGTCCGATCGATGAACGGTGATTTCTGTTTTAGTTTAATTGAGAAGGAATGGCGGATTACTGCCCGCCACTTGATCCTNTATATCTTATATACTATATATATTCGAATATCTATACATCTTAGATATTTATTTTAACATCCTTTTGTCTCTAATATCTATTTATTTTTCTTTTAAAAAAAATAAAAATATTGGGCCCACTTAGCCCGCGGCCCGGGGCTGTTTAGCCCGGTCTCGGGCCGGTCCTTAGAAAAAGCCCGTTTGGCCCGTTTAATTTGGGCCCGGACCCGGGACCGGGGCGGTTTGAACCGGCCCATTTGTCCTGTTTAGGCCCGAGACTGGCCCACTTGCCAGCCCTAATATTATTCAAGAGTGATTATTGGGCTTTGATCGACAGCTAACCGACCCGACATTTGGGCTAATGCAGGTATACGGAAGAACAAAATACCTGCACACAGCGGATTGGTTTAGTTGAGAGGATAAGGTTCGGCACGTCAGAGTGTCGTCCTTTTGGAACAACATCAACTTGTTTGGACGAATATAACCCTACCCACTCTGCAAATTGACAGTAGACACGTGCTTCCCTCCTCTTCCTTTATCCAAATTCCCTCACAAAAAAAGAAAAAAGCAGAAAGATCCCAAAAAGTAAAAAGAGAAAGTTCCCATATTTGATGGAGAAGTAGCTGCAGCAGTAGTTCACCTTCATTTCTGTGTATTGAAAATAGCTCTGATTACCTCCGGCGAGATCCTAGCTTTTCCGGTGAGTTTTACTACTCTTACTGCCGTTCTGACTGATCCAAGTCCACCGCCATGATTCTTTCCTATATAATACGGTCACAGAAATGTTAGGTCCTTTTGCTATTACCCACTTTCGATCTAAAATATGGCTTCGCCAGCGCAAAAAAATCTTCCATTCTCCAACTAGCTTCAAGTTTACCCTAAATTCTACTGTATACTTCTGACGTGAATGAAAGTGAGGTCTGGGATCAAAACGGATTGAGAAAATTGAGACCGAATTTGATAAAGTGGCGAAAATGAGTTTAGGTGCAGCGGAGGAGGAATCGTCTCAGGAAATCCAGTTACCGGCGGATATCGACTGGAAAATGCTGGACAAATCCAAGTTTTTCTTCCTCGGCGCCGCCTTATTTTCAGGTGTTTCAGCTGCTCTTTACCCTGTTGTGGTGTTAAAGACTCGGCAACAGGTAGCGCAAGCTCATCTTTCTTGCTTTAAAACAGCTTTCTCTGTAGTTAAGTACGAAGGGATTCGCGGATTGTATCGCGGGTTTGGTACTTCGTTGATGGGTACAATCCCAGCCAGAGCACTTTATATGGCTGCACTCGAGGTTACAAAGAGTAACGTCGGTGCAGCCACAGTTAGGCTCGGAGTTCCCGAGCCTACTGCGACCGCCCTAGCCAGCGCTGCAGCTGGGCTGAGCGCCGCCGTGGCAGCCCAACTGGTATGGACTCCGGTAGATGTAGTGAGCCAGCGGCTCATGGTGCAAGGTGGTTCGTGTAAATATCTCAATGGGATCGATGCGTTTCGTAGAATCCTTAAAACAGATGGGCCTAAGGGACTCTACAGAGGTTTTGGGTTTTCGATTTTGACCTATGCACCATCCAATGCGCTTTGGTGGGCATCTTACTCCATTACTCAGCGGCTCGTCTGGAGTGGTTATGGATGTTACTTCTGCAAGAGTGGTGAGGCAAAAACTGAGGATGAAATTAAGACTTTGAAACCCGACTCGAAGACTGTTATGGCGGTTCAGGGAGTGAGTGCAGCCATGGCAGGCGGCATTTCAGCTCTGATTACAACACCATTAGACACAATCAAGACGAGATTGCAGGTCCTAGATGGCGATGAAAATGGGCGGAGAGGGCCAACGGTGGCCCAAACAGTAAGGAATTTAGTAAGGGAAGGTGGGTGGATGGCTTGTTACAGAGGATTAGGTCCTCGATGGGCTTCAATGTCTATGTCCGCAACCACTATGATAACTACTTACGAATTCCTCAAACGCCTCTCCACAAAGAGTCAAGAAAGCTGGGCGTCGTGAACCCTGTGAACGTCAAATTAGGCTAAAGTTATCAGTCTTCTTCCCCTGTTTCACCTTTACTATTGTTAGGTTTACGGTTTGATCCATTCTTTTTGAATGATGATCTTTTTTTTTTTTTTTAGAATCAGCATGCTGAGTTAAACACATAGAAGCCTAGAGCAAGAACTGAAATAATGTTGTTATGTTCATGTACATACTATGAATCTGTATATAGTCCATCTTTCAGCCGATCGGTTTGGCAGGCAAGCTACCTTGATCCATTTTCGGCGTTGATTCATTACGATCAAAGGCTGGAAACATGCTTTAAAGTGTGCCAAGGGAATAACACTACTTTATGTTTGAACCTATGTACCCATAAAATGTCACGCCTCTCCACTTTCAGATCTCACAAACTAACGGATGTATGACGTTGGATAGTGTTTTCTCTATCCTTCCCCGGTTAAATATTAGGCGTATATGACTAGGTTGGAAATCATAACGTTGGTCCAGCAACGAATTCAGGAAATTTAATAATTTAAATACTCTTTGCCAGTGTGCTGTGGAAGGGTATTCAAAATTTATTTTTAATAAATAATAAATAATATTTTACCTTATATGTATTATAATTTTTCGGCGAAGGCTTGGACCAACATAGCTTTCCCCTGCGTGCACCTAACCCAGACATCGAGCATTAGTCTCTTATTACTAGACTATAAAGCCCCTGGGCGACTTCTCTTCTTCCTTTAAGATAATTTAAGACCTTTTATATTGGGGGGTGTTTCAAGAATTCAACCAAATAGTAGGAATACATCCTTTTCAAGTCTTTCTTCTTGTGCTACGAAAATATTGGGAATCACTGAAACGATTGGAAGATGAGAATCTGTATTGGACTTAATTGACTTGTAGCTAATCTCAGCCAATGGTAGATTAAGATTCTTCTTTCTGTCTGATGATGATGATGATGTTGATTTGAACATGTTGCGTATAAAGTCTTAATTCTTTTTAATCTTAATGAGACAGGAGAAAGTGGTGGGTCCAATGTGATTATCCAACATTTTAGGGATTAGATTTAGACTATTATCTTAATGTTTAAAATTCAGATAGCTAATGATAGTGGTTAACAACACAAGTAGCCGACCATTATACATAAATTACTATAAATGAAACTTTTGACTGTTATGCAACAATTATATGAGCAACAGCGTCTTCTTCTGTTTTTCTTTTCTCCCCTATCAGTTTGTTAGAGAAACGTGATTGCTTAGCATTTCCTTAAAAAATGGCTCAGGCTACCGGATCGGTTTAGATTATTTTAAGCAGAGGTTTTTAAGGAATTTCGTCCTGATGTAATTTAATTAAGGAAATACAGCTAATGATAGCGAGTTAAGTGAATAAACAAGGAGAAGCAACTGTGAATTGAATTGCTTCCAAAGCATCAAACTTTAATGAACTTCCTAAGAAGTTGACTCATAGTTGAAAACTTGCAGAAAATGTCGATAAGTTAGGTAGTTCATATCATGCCAATTGAGTTTTTTATTTTTATTTTTTATTTTTATGTATTCAACAATAAACTAAAATATTAAGAGTAATGATTAAGGACTGCAGGATTACCAGATTGGACTACAACTGATATTTTTTCTTTTTATGATAATGGCTTCTTAACCGGCTTGCGTGTATCTCGACTAATCCACAATCTAATTTGAAATTGAGGTCAATCTCGATAGTTGTCACAAGAAAGTCGCCCCCATCTCTAAAGAGGCAGATAATGGCTTCTTCACCGGCTTGCGTATCTCGACTAATCCACAATCTATTTTGAAATTGAGGTCAATCTCGGTAGCAGGGGCGACTCTAAGGCTTTGGTTAGTGAGGCCATTGCCTTAGGTCCCCAAATTTTGAAGGCCCCCAAATTTATTTTAAATTCTTATTATTATTGTTACTATTATATATTATATAATTTATATAAATAATTAGCATAAAAAAGTGTTACAATATATTTTGTTACTTGATTGAGGTTATTTTATACAATAAATTTATAAATTATGATAATTTTGTTCCCTCATTAATTAGTATATTTGACAAGAGTGGGTTGTTCTAGTGGTGAACACCCTCCACTTCCAACCAAGAGGTTGTGAGTTCGAGTCACCCCAAGAGCAAGGTGTGGAGTTTTTGGAGGGAGGGAACTGAGGGTCTATCGGAAATAGCCTCTCTACTGCAGGGTAGAGGTAAGGTCTGTGTACAAACTACCCTCCCCAGATCCTACTAGTGGGATTATATTAGGATTAAGGGCCTCCGAATATGATTTCACTTTAGGCCCCGAGATCTGTTGAGCCGCCCCTGCTCAGTAGTTGTCACAAGAAAGTCACCCCTATCTCTAAAGAGGATTATGTACTACGCAACTTTCTTATGTTATAAGGTTTCGAAGACTCAATTTACCCGAAAAAACTCTCCATATGGTAGCCCAACCTATTCAAAGGGTCGTTAGACTGCCACTTACTAAGCGTTGGTTTTATCCTCGGCCTAGCAGCCAATCACAGGTGTAAAAATGTGCAGCCCTGTGCACTAAGTTCCCGCTATGCGCGGAGTCCGGGGAAGGGTCGGATCACAAGTGTAAGAGAAAGAATGACAAAAGGGATTGGGAGCTAATCACAATAGTGAGTCTGTTATCCTGCTACAACAACCCAGTGAAATCCCACGAGTGAGGTCTTGGGTCTGGAGAGGATAGTGTGTACGTAGATCTTACCCCTACTCCTCCGAAGTAGAGAGGTTGTTTCCGATAGAATCCTCGACAACAACGGGTAGAAATTAAACATTGTAAAATATGGACCATAGTTTAACTGAACTACCGTTAATTTAAACAGAACCAACATATAAGGACCCTTAGTTAGAGCCAACTATACATAGAGATGAGGCCTACCCAATTAGAGACCCACAACTTAGAGCCAAATATAATGAATAGCCTGACCAACATAAACAGTCAGATGCATCTAACAGCAGGAGAACTCTACATTCACCACATTCTAAACACTAGGTCCGCGCTCTCTTGTTGCTGCAAGGCGGACATTTGTATTGCTTAATGAACTCTGCCCTGGCGGGGGTGATCTTCACACACTTGCCATGGAACCACATTTCACAAATGTCGCAACATATCCAAAATTCATCCTCTGCATATTTCTCCCCACATGCCCCGCATAGTGTCTCACCTTGCACCTCTTCGTCCTCCTTCTCATCCAATCCCTCTTCTTCTTCTTCTTCTTCTTCTTCTTCTTCTTCTTCTTCTTCTTCTTCTTCTTCTTCTTCTTCATATTTTTGTAGCAACTTTGTAAACTTTCCTTGAGACTCTGCTGCCTTCTGTTTTTTACAACCGGAAAAGAAATCGACGATAGCTTAAAAAGAAGTTGACATCATGTGGCAATACAATCAAAAGATCACACACTATAAAAGCCCAGAAACCAGAAAATCATAACTTAAAGTTCGATATTCAGACGCTTAGTCAAGGTCTGTCACAAGAACCATAAGCTCGATATTCAGATGCTTGCAATCAGACAGAAGATTAACTTCAAAAGTAAACAAACTAATACAACACATACAAAAGTTATCACATAAGATAAAAGATCATGCTAAAGCTGACATGCAAATAAAGCATACTTGGAGAACATAATCCTTTACCTTTTTGGAGTTTGGCTTGGATTTGTTGCTTCTATGGTTAGAGACTGTAGATTTTTCTTTTTGTTGCTTCTTTGTAGCACCAGTCACTACTTCATATACAGTAGGCAGATCATTTATCATGTTGAAGAGCCTCTTCCTGGAAAATAGAAGGCAACTAATGATCATGGAAAGCAACATAGTAAACTTCACGAGACGTGAAAGCACAATGAGTGCTGTCGTCGTTGAGTCACAGTTGACACAATTTGATCTGGTATGATTTTCTAGCAAAAGACACAAATCTCTGGTAGGTTAATAGAAATACGAATGTACTTATCCTCTACGCACAAAGTAATGTGAAGAAATCTAGAACACAGGCTTCCTATTAACATCACATTCAGTATTAAGGATTCCACATACAACAAACACCAAAATGCAGAAATGAATTCAAGTTGAACCAAGAAATTCCATATTCCTCAATTTGAGTTGCTTTTCAAAGAACATAACTGACATTGCATACTGTTTGCTGTTAGTTGGTTGACTCGGCTAAGTGCAAGTATGCTTGACAAGCATGTGATATGTAGATCATACAAATTAAAGCACCCAGACGTCAATTGATTAACACTCATTTGGGAGCAAACTATACAGAAAATAAACCAAGCTAGATGGACCGTATTAACCTGTTAAGAACCAAACCTACTAACCCAAGGGTGTGGCCCAGAAGTGGGAGGAGAACCATGAGGTCTCAGGTTAATTCTTTCCATCTGCCTAAGCTTTGGTGGCATAGTTACTCAGTACCTATACTGGTGGGAGGTAGCAGGTTTCCGTATAGAATAGTCGAGGTGCGCGCAAGCTAGCCTAGATACCACCGTCATGACGTCATCATAAAAAATAAAAATAAAAAGAACCACGCCTATTGTTAGAGTTGTATCAGCTCATTTCTATAGGTGCAAGATAATACACTTCGCGTTCAAGTCAATACTCAACAAGCTTTTTGCATTTTTCACACCTCTTCTATGCCTATTTTTTGCACTTCGCATCCTGTCCTCTCTGCAGTTTTCCTTCTTAACCTCTTCATCTTCTTACAAAATCACTGAAACAATAGGTTTCGATTCAAATGTTAACATTTTATAAGTAGTAAAAAGGATATATTACCTTATATAACTAATTAACGACATCAAGATCTTGAACATCCTCCATTCTTTTGGCCTAAGCTTTTAGAGGTGCAGTTAGGGATTTGGGCAGGAAATTCATTTCACAGGGTAGCATTCCCAATTTAGCTCAGTAAAGTGTTTGGATTCGGACTAAAAGATACTTTCAATGATCTTTCCCGAAAGTAAAGTGGCAAAGGAGCAAATATAAATAAATAAAGGACAGAGACCAAAGAGAAAAATGTTGCATGCATCAGCGGTGCAAAATGCAAAGAACTGATAGTAACCAAGGTTTCTACTTTTAGCTTCTCTTGCTAGTAATAATGCCAGGCATCGCTAGCTCAACACCAAAAGCATCTAAACTGAATGACCAACCTAAAAACTCATTAATCAGATGCATCACTTCTGCTTTTAACAGAAAGCATGTTTTGTTTGAGAAAAACCACACGAAAGGAAAAACATTAATGCACTGAGAAGCAGAATCAACACAAAATGCTGATACAAAGAAAATGTCAATGAGCTACTGGAGCAGGGAAGAATCGCGAAACATAAAAAATTGCTTTTACAAGCATAGAATAGCTGGAAAAAAGAAATTGACTGAGAAGAAGTACCTGTCGGACTTATCAAATCCAAATCTAGCAGCATAAAAGAAGGCAACAGAAAGCAACCAAGCGTCACTGTGGACGGCAACTAAGGAAAGCCATTCCTTTTCTTGCATCCCATCTCTAGCAAAGTTAATACCAAGAACAGGCTCTGGAAGCTCTGGTGGTACTTCTTCAGCAGGCATATTAACCTCCCATTGCTCGTTTGGGAGTCCAAACAAGCACAAGTTCTCCTTTTCTGCATAAGAAACAGTTGACATATTTGATCATGAACAAGAAGCAATAGGAGTATTGTGTCACAAGGAACTCGAGATACGACTGACTAAACATATTGACTGTAATAAAACTCAGAGGAGGGCAGGGGAGTTGCGGTGACGAGGCAGCTTATAACCCCATAAACAAAATCTCAAATTGAAAAGTCCTAAATGTTATAACCCTGATCAGCCACCCTAAATAACACTTCCAAACGAAGAGCAACGACTCAGGATTAGAAGTGTTTCGTTTAAGCTAAACACACTGTAACTTTGATTCTACTTCTGTTTCAAGGAGGGTTAAAGATTTCCTAATAATGCGTCGACATGAGAACATGCATACGTGGATCTATATTATCATGAGGGAAATTTATGGAAATTTTTATGTACCATTAATTAACAATATACGAGAAGTTCTGAATATTGCCTCCCCAAAAATTAAGATTTAGGGGCATAATCAAAGTTGAAGTGCAAATTTTGCATCTGATTTGAGTGAGCAACTATGTAATTATGCAAAGAATCTAGGCAAATTAATGAAAAAGAGAAAATACAGAAACAAGCAATGTTGACTACATGATTTTCCTCTCCTAAGAGAAAGGTTGTACCAAACATGAAGAAAATCTTGTGAAACACTAAAGAAACAGTGTTTTTTTGGGTACGGTTACATAAAACAACAACCCAGTAAAATTCTACAAGTGTGGTCCGGGTATGGTAGTGCGTAGGCACCCCTACCCAGAGGATTAGAAAGGGTGTTTCTGTAGGGTTACATAAAACATGAATCTCAAAATTTATGAAGTTATAGTTTAAACAGAGAATATTCTGTTTTAATTTCTTAAGTGATATTTAATATATTTTGAAATACAAGGATAAGCAATCATTCTTATTGTATACATAATCACCAATGTAGAATGATGCTGTTAATATAAAACTGGAAAAAAAAGGACTTACCAGGATCACACTGCTTAAAAAATTCTTCCACTTCTGAATAACGAAACAAATAAATCAATTACATAAATCAGCAAAAATAAACATATTGACAAAAGTGAAATTTAATATAAAAAGAAAGAAGAAGAAAAGGAGAGGAAATTAAACCAGTGGTGAGAGCCTTAATAAGAGCAGCACGTCGGCCCTTGAAATCCTGAAACACATCTTTCACACTGAGGGTATTGTTCTGTTCTCCTCCTAATTTTCCTCCTCCTTCCATTATTAATGCAATTTGTTTTACAGCGGCGGCAAAAACGAGAAGAAAGAAGTAAGTCAAGCAGTTTTGACTTTGTGTACGAGGTTGTCAAGTTTAAGTAGGGCCCGATTATCGCAATAAATTTTGGGATTAAGTTAATCTTGTATTTTATTAATTGGAGGTATTAGCTAACATTAATATTATTTCTATATCAAAATCTTAGATAGAATTATAATATTGGGATATCTTGGTTTTGGATTTGGTGCCGAGTGTACATTGACCCAACCAATCCACAATTTAAAGTTTATGAATAGTAATGCATGGCTTATGATGAAGGGAATCTAATATGATGCAGGAAATCTAATATCTAATATCTAATATAAAAACTAATAATACAGGAATTAGTAAAAAGGATTCTTCAATATTTAGTTAGATATATTATATTTTAGTATGCAATATATAGTTTAAGATATGTTTACTTTTATATAAAATAAGAGTTTTTTTTATCATTATGAAGGTTAATTTTGTTGTTTAACATTTCTCAATCTATGTATTACTAATATCGTCGAATTTTGTTTTTGCGTTCTATCCCGCATAAAATAGTACGTAAAAGTTCAAATAACTTATGCAAAAAAAAAAATAATTAATGATGATTTTTATTTGGAGATTAAAAATCTACTCAAATTCCAATTACAGATTGTATAAACTAATGCTGATTTTTATGTGAAGATTATATTTTCTATAACCCCAACCAAACGACGCCTAATAATATATACGTAATATTCTTAACCATCTGGTCAAGGGTAGTAACTATTCATAATAACTCTAATTTGATTATCTAAAAATTAAGATAAAGGATATTAGACCCTCAATAAATACAATTTAAAGCCAAAGTTTAACCACTTTGCTTCCTTACTCCTTTAAACACCCACTCAAATTGGACTCCAAACTTCGGACAGCTCAGTAAAATTAGTGGTTTAAAGTCAAATCTTACTCAGAGGTGGTAAATATATTCAATAAAATTCATTTTATATTTGAAGTAAGTGAGAGTATGAGAGAAAACATAAGAAAGAATGAAAAAAGAATGTGCATTTCAAACTATTTTGTTGTTTGACAGAATAGACAAATAGTATGAAGAAGTAAAAAAAAGAGAAGTTGACTCTATAAAGTATAAGAATTAAAAAGAACTGAATATTGCAAGCTTAAGTGATCAACGAGAATAGAGATACCTAAAAGATTAAATGAATAGAGAAAAAGAATTAGGTGAAAGGAGTGATCATACATCGATACATGATATAAACTATATCATTCTTTATTCTATTCTATTTCTTGAAAAAAAAAGAAAGGGTAACTCAACTTATCAACTAGAGTTGGTGGTGAGGCCAGCTGACATAATGTACACATGAATGCGAGAATTCGAGTATAACGACTCGATCGGTCGTTTTGAATATTATAACCCCGTTCCCTCAATTACTGCTCAATTTATGCCTTGCAATTGATTTATGACTTATCAGGTTAGTTGGTTCGGGTCCGAAAGAAATTCGGAATGAAATGAGATAGTCTCATAATTGAAAATTTAAGTTAGAAAAGTGGACTGGATATGGACCTATGTGTAAACGACCTCGGATTTGAATTTTGATGATTCCAATAGCTCCGTATGGTGATTTTGGACTTAGGAGCGTATCCGGAGAAATTTTTGGAGGTCCGTAGAGGAATTAGGCTTGAAATACCGAAAGTTAAATTTTTGGGAAGTTTAACCGGGGGGTTGACTTTTTTATATCGGGGTCGAAATCCGATTCTGAAAATTTTAATAGGTCTGTTATGTCATTTATGACTTGTGTGCAAAAATTGAGGTCAATCGGACGTGATTTGATATGTTTCGGCGTTGTTTGTAGAAACGGAAGGTTACAAAGTTCATCAGGCTTGAATCTATGTGTGATTCATGTTTTTAGTGTTGTTGGATGTGATTTGAAAACTCAACTAAGTTCGTATGATATTTTAGGACTTGTTGGTATATTTGGTTGAGGTCCCGAGGGCCTCGGGTGAGTTTCGGATGGTTAACGGATCAAAAATTGAACTATAACAACTGTTGCAATTTCCTTCTGTTGGAAATTTTTTCTGCCAGAATCGAGCCCAAATAAATCGAGCCCAGAGTCAAGGGCCACGATAGAGCCCAGGGTCGAGGGCCACGATCGAAGGCAGGGTCGAGGATCAGGATCGAAGGCAGGGTCGAGGATCAGGATCGAAGGCAGGGTCTAGGATCAGGATCAAAGCCACGATCGAGCCCAGAGTCGAGGGCCGCAATCGAAGGCATGGTCGAAGACATGATCGAAGGCCAGGGTCGAGGGCCATGATCGAGGCCCAGGATCGAGGACCTCGATCGAAGGCCAAAATCGATGGCCAAGATCGAGGCAAAACCAAGGCAGTCTCGGCAGAATTATAAAGCATGGACTTCGTCCCATATTCCATTTTTGACAAATTGGAGCTTGAGGAGAGGCAATTTTTGATAGATTTTCAAGAAAAACTTGAGGTAAGTCCCTTGTGATCATTTCTACTCCATAATATTGAATTATTATTGAATAATCCGACTAGATTACATGATTTTGAGGTGTAAATCAGAGATTGGAACTTAGAAATTTCGAAATAAGATTTATAGATTTGAGGGTTGAGTTGAGGTTGGATTTTGGTAAAATTGGTATGGTTAGACTCGTGGTTGAATGGGCTTCCGGATTTTATAACTTTTGTCGGGTTCCGAGACGTGGGCCCCACGGGCGATTTTTGAGCTAAATTTTGGATTTTTATGGAAAATTAGTATTATCTTATGGAATTAATTCCAATAAAATTTATTGACTGAAACGAATTATTTGTGACTAGATTCGAGGCATTCAAAGGCCGATTTGCGAGGCAAAGGCATAACAGAGTAAATAATTTCACGTTTTGAGGTAAGTAACAGTTATAAATCTGGCCCTGAGGGTATGAAACCCCGAATTTTGTGTCATGCGATTATTTTGGAGGTGACGCACGTGCTAGGTGACTGACGTGTGGGCGTGCACCGAGGGAATTGGGACTTGTACCATTCCGTGAAAATTGTACAGTTGAATAATTTATTGTTAGCTATATGCTCTGTATGTGTTGAAGAAATTTGACTGTAAATCATGCTTAGGCTATGTGATAGTACTGTTGGGAACCACAGAGGTCACGTACTTATTAAATTATTTGCTAATTTCTATCTTATGCTCAGTCATGATTTTACTTGCGTATCATACCTCAGTCTTTCTTGATATTTGTTGATGCATTATGTTATCTTTGTTTGGGCTGATCTTTGTGATTTCTAAGAGTCCGAGATACTAGAGAGGTTAAGGACTGAGTAAGGCCGAGCGCCTGTCGGTGAGGTAAGGATATTATGGCACGTGAGTTGTCCGTGCAGGATATTATAGCACGTGAGTTGTCCGTGCAAATTATGGCACTTGGGCTGTGGGAGCCCCTCCGGAGTCCGTACACACCCCCAGTGAGCGCGGGTACCCATTGAGTGTGAGTGCTGAGGGCTGAGAGCCGAGTGGTTGAGTTGTTGTGATGAGTTGAGTGACTGTTGCCTGAGAGGCTGTACTTGCTTTGCATTTGTTGTTGCACTTGGTTGCTATCTGTCATTGTTGTGAAATCTCTGAAAGATTTTATATACGGATTATACGAACCTAAACTGTATAAAATTGAATTGACTTAAACTGCCGGATTTGAAAGCATGTCTATTCTTTGCTGGAATTACTGAAAGTGAACTATAATTGTATAGCTCGTCATTATTTTCAGTTCCTTAGTTATTATTGTTACTTGCTGAGTTGGTTGTACTCATACTACACCTTGCACTTTGTGTGCAGATCCAGGTGTTCTCGGACATATCGGGTGTTGATCATTTCACGCAGTTGATTTTCAGGAGATTTTGAGGTAGCTGCCGTGTTCCGCAGACCTTGTCTCTCTTTCTCTATCTCCTTGTTTACTGTATTTGGTCTCAGACTATTATAGACCGTATTTTCCAGACTTGTATTCATATTAGATGCTCATGTTCTCAGTGACACCAGGTTTTGGGGAGTGTTCATGTGAGTATTTGTGAGATTTTGTATTGTATTAAATTATTGTATTTTCAAACTTAAGAGAAATTATGATTTAACGAGATTATCGGCTTGCCTAGTATCGAGATAGGCGCCATCACGACAGGTTGGGATTTTGGATCGTGATAAATTGGTATTAGAGCCTAGGTTACATAGGTCTCAGGAGTCATGAGCAGGTTTAGTGGAGTCTTGCGGATCGGTATGGAGACGTCTGTACTTATCTTCGAGAGGCTGCAGAACCCTTAGGAAAATTACACTTTCTTGTATTTTGTCGTGTGAATTTGTTGATTCTGGAAACTAAATTTCTGCTATTCTATTCTCTCACAGATGGTGATGACACGTACTACTGGATCGGACGGTCAGCCACCAGTGCCACTAGTTAGGGCCGCGAGAGTTCGGGGCCGTGGTAGAGGCCGAGGTTGAGGTAGAGGTAGAGGTGTAGCTCGTACCACAGTTGAGCCAGCACCTGTAGAACCACCAGTTGCTCCAGCTCAGGAGCAGATTCCGGATATAGCTGAGCCGACATGATCAACTCAGGCACCAGTTATGCCCATTGAGATTCCAGGCCTTCAAGAGACTTTGGCCCAGATATTGGCAGCCTGCACTGGTCTTGCTCAGGTGATTTCGGCTCAGGCCGCACCTGCCACTTCTCAGGCCGGGGGAGGTACTCATACCCCTATTGCACGTACTCCAAACCAGGTAGTACAAGGTCTTCAAATACCGGGGGCACTACCAGCTCAGCCGGTTGCAGCTGCTCAGGCCCCGGTAATTCCTGTTATGGCAGATGATGAGCAAATAAAACTTGAGAGATTTGATAGGCTTCGACCTCCACCTTTTAGCAGTGCTGAGTCAGAGGATGCCCAGGGTTTTCTAGATAAGTGTCAGCGGATGCTTCAGACAACGGGTATTCTAGAGACCAGTGGGGTCTCATTCATTACTTTTCAGTTTTCTGGGGCTGCCTTCAGATGGTGG